ACTATACTCTCCACTCCCCAAAAAGCAATAAAATATTAATTAGTGAGTACATTCCGAGTCATATGGATCTTTGGCTAGATCCTGAAGCACTGATCGAGTCAACAAATGTTGACTTTGAGCAACAAAAGTTGCTCAACAAATGTTTTATTGAGCAACTTCTACGGTCTAGATATTGTACAGAGAATATATCTAGGAATAAGACTATCTTGTGATTCAAGAGGTAGGAAACAGAAAATAAACACTAATAAATAAATAAATTATATATTTAAATGGGCTAAATAATAAAAAAAAGAGCAGACTAAGGGGCATCAGGAGTGCCAGGGGGAAAGAGTGGTAGTGTTAATGAGATGGTGCAAAGAGGCCTCAGTGAGAGGAGGGGGGGAGTCTTAAGAATAAGCAGAGAAAGAGCATTCCAGGCAAAGGGAATAGCTAGTGCAAAAGTTCGGAGGCAAGAGTGTCCCTGGCATGTTTAAGGAACAACAAGGGCACCATTGTGCCTGTGGAGTGAAGGGAGTGAGTTGAAGAGGAAGATGAGGTCAGGGAGGTCAGAGTAGATCATGTAGGTCTTATGGGCCATTGTAAAGACTTTTGCTGATATTCCAGGAGGGATGGGGAACCATTGGAGGCTTTTGAACAGAGGAGAGCCATGTTATGACTAATATTTTACAAGATCATTGGCTCCTGTATTCACAATGGACTGAGGTAGGCGGCAGACAGCAGGGGACCAAGTAAGAATGTAGGAGTTTCTTGAGGGCATCCAGGAGAGATGATGGTGGCTTGGACCAGGATGGAAGTAGTGGTGTGAAGTAGATTCTGGGTTATATTTTGAAAGCTGAACCGATGGGATTTCCTGATAGATTGGATGTTGAGTGGAAAAAACAGAGAAGTCAAAGATGATTACAGGGTTTTGGCTTGAGCAACTGAAATCTAGGAGACTATGCAAGAGTAGAACTTGGGAGGAGACCAGCGGTTCAGTTTTGGGCATAATAAGATTGAGATGCCTATTAGACATGCAAATGGCAGTGTCAAGTAGCAAGTTTGTTTATATGAGTCTGGAGTTTAGGAGGAAAGTCTGGGCTGTAAGTATAAATTTGGAGTTATCCATGTATAGATGGTGTTTAAAACCTCGAGATTAGATGAGATCATTAAGAAGTGAGTATACGGTACAATTTCCTAGTGGCCAAGTGAAGAAAATGTTTCCAGGAGAAAGGTCACAGATATTGTGTCAAATGCTGCTGAGAGGTCAAGTCAAAGAAGAACAGGCTGGGTGCAGTGGCTCACGTCTGTAATCCCAGCACTTTGGGAGGCCAAGGCAGGAGTATCGCTGGAGGCCAGGGGTTCAAGACCAGCCTGAGCATCTCTACAAAATAACAATTAAAAAACTAGCCAGGCATGGTGTTGCACCTACCTGTAGTCCAGCTAGCTACTGGGGAGGCTAAGGCAGGAGGATTACTTGAGCCCAGGAGTTTGAGGTTGCAGTGAGCTATGATCACACCACTGTACTCCAGCCTGGGCAACAGAGCGAGACTCGGTCTCAAAAAAATATTAAAAAAAGAACGGAGAATGAACACTCACTGTGGCAATATGGAGGTCAATGGTGACCTTGAGAAGGGCTGTTTGGGTGGAGTGGTCTGAATGAAAGCCTGGCTGGAATGGGTTTAAGGAAAAAATGGCGAAGAATTGAGACTGTGGCAGTAAACAAGTCTTTCAAGGAGATTTGCTATAAAGGAGAACACAGAAACGGCATCTGGATGTGGAAGCGAAGTCAAGAGAGTTTTTTCTTCTGTTCAATGTGGAAGGACAAGCACACAACGTGCTTGTGTGCAGGTGAGAATGCCTCAGTGAAGAACTGATGGTGGGCGGGCGCGGTGGCTCACGGCTGTAATCCTAGCACTTTGGGAGGCCGAGGAGGGCGGATTGCTCGAGGTCAGGAGTTCGAAACCAGCCTGAGCAAGAGTGAGACCCCCGTCTCTACTATAAATAGAAAGAGAATTAAGTTGACAACTATATATAGGTCAGAAAATTAGCCGAGGGTTGTGCGCATGCCGTAGCCCAGCAACTCGGGAGGCTGAGGCAGGAGATTGCTTGAGCCCAGGAGTTTGAGGTTGCTGTGAGCTAGGCTGACGCCAAGGCACTCTTAGCCTGGGCAACAAAGTGAGACTCTGTCTCAAAAAAAAAAAAAAAAAAAAAAGAACTGATGGTGGAAGAGAGTAAGGAGAATTATTATTGTGGTGATGTCCCTGAGCAGGTGTATTACTTTCCTAGGGCTTCCATAACAAATCACCACAAACTTGGTGGCTTAAAAACAACAGAAACCTAGTCTCTCACAATTCTGGAAGCCAGAAATGTGAAATCAAGGTGTTGGCATTAAGGCACTCCCTCTGGAGACTCTAGGGGAGAGTCGGTTCCTTGCCTCTTCCAGCTCCTGGCAGCTGTTAGTTTTCCTTGGCATGTGGCCACATCTCTCACTGTTCTGCCTTCATATTGCTTTCTGCTCTGTGGGCTTCTCCTATCATTCTGTCTGACTCAAATCTCCCTCTGCCTTTCTCTTATAAGGACACATGTTTTCTGATTTAGGGCCTCCCCAGATAATCTAGGATGATCTCATTTCAAGATCGTTAATTTAATTACATCTGCAAGGTCCTTTTTTCCAAATAAGGTCGCTGTCACAGATTCCGGATATTAGGACATGAAATACATTTGGGGTGGGAGGGCTACCATTTAGCCCAATGCAGTGGGTGAGAAGGAATGGGGTTTACTTCACATGGGAGGAGTTGGCTGTTGATGGGAGCAGGGATGATTCATCACTAGTTTCAGTAAGATCAGTAGAGGTTTTGGTCCCAGTCACAGGTAGGTGGGTAGATGTAGTGGTGGGAGCTTGTAGAGGTTCTTTTGATTGCTTCCATTTCCTCAGTGACATAAGAAACAAGGCCATTATCTGACAGTGAAGATGGGGAAGGAGTTGTTGGAATTTGGATGTAAGTAGAAAATGTGTGTTACAGTTTTCAGGGAGAGTTGGAGAGGGCCTGGATTAGAGAATTGTTAATTTTCCAGTAGCATTAAAACCCACCCAAACGGGCTGATGGTTATGAATTTAAAGTGAGACCCATCTGCATGATCACTGTTGTCACCAGCTATTAATATATTCAGTGGTGTGGGCCCAGGTGTAGAATAGGTAGGAAGTTGGATTGTTTTGGGCTTGTCTTGCCAAGTGAGTATGAAGAAGAGAGTTGTGTTTATTGAGGGAGGGTGTAAGGTAGTTATTATAATGATTGACCATGGAATTTAAGATTAGTAAGGAAATCAGAGAGGGTATTAGGAGTGTGAGAGACAGTGGAAAGTGAACTATAGGTCCTAGAAGCATGAGATCGTTGGGGATGGAATACCAGGAGGAGTGAGCTAGTAAGAGACGAGGTGGTGGTCATAAAGTGAGATGTATGAAATCGAGATTGTGGAGGGTTTGGAGTCATGATCACACCTTGTCTAGGGCCTGACCATGGGAGTAAGTGGTTAAGAATTCAAAAATGTTCATTCATTCATATTCATTGTGGACCTACTGTGTGTTAGGTGCCAGATTCACAGCGGTGAACAAGGAGCTCAGAATCCAATGGAAGAAAGAGACAAGGAAAGAGGCAATTCTAACATCTCATGCTGAGAGTTATGGTGGGGATGGAGAGAGAGTACAGGTGTTTCAGTCCAAGATAGGGGGTGTGTGGCTTCTTAAAGGAAGAAACATCCAAATGGAGACCTGAAGATTAAGGAAGAGTTGGCAGAAAAAGGGGGAGATAGGACCAGAAACTATTGCAGGCAATGGCACCAGCTGGCACAGAGCGCTGAAGAGGACAACAAGGAAACCCAAAGTCATAGTCCCTTGCTCTGGAGCTGGATCTTACCTGTGGCCAGGTTATTTTCAGGCTCTTCCATGTTGATTTTTTTTTTTTTTAATTTTCCAAAATTTAAAGCAGATAGATTTTAGTTATAATCCAGATTTCTGACTTCTCTTGAAAATCCAGGCGATGAGACAACATTGGGTTTGCATTCAGACATCACAAAACTTGCTGGAGCCCAGTAGTGGTCACCCCATAAAGACAGAGCAGACAGACTCCATATTGCTCTTTTCCCTACCTGCTTCTCTTCACACTTTGATGCCACCTGCCTGGCTTCTGTAGGCATTTGAGTCCCAGGTCCCCGAGCTAGGGCATCCCAGTGGTTCAGCATAGTTGGAGAAAAGGGTGGTGGAGGAGATGGCTGAGGGCCGGGGAAGAACTCTGTACCCTGAGTGAAGGAGTTTGGGCTGCAGCTGTAGGTCATTAGGGAGTTATTGACAAGTTTACAGCACAAGGGAATTAGCATCTGGTTTGTTTTGGGAAGGCAAATGGATTGAAGGCAGAAGACTAGATGCAATAAAGAAGTTATTGGTATTAATCCACGTTTTCCTTCTAAGAATTCCATGAGCAATGGGTCTGCATTAGAAACACAAGGCTTCATGTCTCATTCCTAGAATTCTTTTTCCACTCCAGTCCTCCCCTCTCCATTCTTCCCATCCTCTCAGGCTGAGGTTGACTCTCCTTGACTTTGCAGGGAGACAAAACAAAGTGTTTAATCAGTCATATGGAGGTAGAACCCTGGATTGAATTCTGACTTTGTCAATAGTGTTTGACTAATTAACTGGGGCTCAGTTTTCTCATCTATAAACTGCAGATAATAGTAGCTAACCCACAGAGCTGCTGTGAGGATTAAGGAGCTGATGTTACTAAAAAGCACTTAGCATGGGTGCTTGGTGCATACTCTGTGCTCCATAAACGTGAGATTAAAACCTGGGATAAAACTAGAAAAAAAAAAAAAACAAAAAAAACCTGGGATAAAATATCCATGATGATGTGAAATGTGGATGTGACATGATTGGACCTTTGCTCTTGTTCTGGAACGGTGGCAGGTTCCAGTTGTTTTCTTGCAGTATGTATAGGTGAGTACCTTACAATCATTTGGGGTGCTTTCAGTTCAGTTCAAACTGATGCTTTATTCGTAATAATGGATCTATTTCCTATACATCTATTAATTAATAGAAAACATTTTTCCTTTCCCCTCCCCACGGTATCTGTAAGATTGTCTGAGCAATATTGGTTTTGATTAACCTTCAGTTATGTAACCCTACATTCTACCAATTGTCATGTTGGGGCCTGCTGATGTTACAGTGGGGTTTTAGCGTATTACTGAAGGATTACTGGTGGCAGTGGAAGTGGGGAAGGGGAAGCCATGGGCGCTAAGCCTCCCTGGCTGGCCCTTAAGTGGTGTGGTCTTCTTCGTATCCTCCATGGCCAGCCGCTGGCTGTTCTTGATTATCCACTTGAGTGCTTCCTCCACACAGCAGCTGGAAGGAATTTTTGAAAATGTGATTTTGTCCACATCACTTTCTTACCTGAACCTCTTACTCCTTATCAAATCCATCAAGGCCTGTGATCTGGCTCTTCCCTGAAACCCCACCATGGCTCCAGCCATAGAAAGTCTTTCGGGTCTCCTGCCTCTGGGTCTGAGGCTGTCCCTCGCCTTTGTAAGGCTGGTTTCTGTTCCTCTTCTGAGTCTCAGCTTAAGTGTTACCTCCTTAGACAGATCCTTCCAGGCCAGCTACTCTATCATACCCCCACTACCTGTAGCACCTGCATCCTTTTCTTCATAGCACTTTTCACAAGCTAATTGAACATGTATGTGTGTATCATATTATCTGACTCCTCTCCTGGACAGAAAGGGCCACTAGGGCCAGGAATGTCCTTGTTTGCCTGACCATTCTATCACCCTAGCCTAGTCCAAAAACCAAAACAAAAACCCAAACAGAAAACCCAAACAACAAACAACAACCCACACATAAAATTGTTAAGATTTTGTGTTTTGTGAGAAATTTCTTATGCGCCTATTTTTAATACCTTTTCTATTGTTGACCTGACTTAGTGTTTCATTCTTTTTTTTTTTTTTTGAGACAGAGTCTCACTTTGTTGCCCAGGCTAGAGTGCCGTGGTGTCAGCCTAGCTCACAGCAACCTCAAACTCCTGGGCTCAAGTGATCCTTCTGCCTCAGCCTCCTGAGTAGCTGGGACTACAGGCACATACCACCATGCCTGGCTAATTTTTTCTATATATTTTTAGTTGGCCAATTAATTTCTTTGTATTATTTAGTAGAGATGGGGTCTTGCTCTTGCTCAGGTTGGTGTTGAACTCCTAACCTTGAGCGATCCTCCCGCCTCAGCCTCCCAGAGTGCTAGGATCACAGGCTACCACGCCTGGCCATTCATTCATTCTTTATCTATTTATTAGGCATTGATTCTGAGTCAGACACTGTTCTTGGTGCTGGGACTGTAGCAATGAATAAAACAGGCAAAAATCCCTACCCACAGGATATGTTTTTGCTGGTGAGTCAGGTGTCTTTCGTGTATGTCCTGTGTCATATCTTAGTTCGCTTTTTTGCTCAGCATCCACTTGGCCAATGTGAGACAGGAGCTCCTTCCATCTTGCATTCTATGCATTTCTGCAGAGGGGCTCAGGGGGACTAAGCCCCCGTTGCTCAGAGTTTACACAGTCCTGGATAGGCTTTCTCTCCCTCCCTGTTTCACTCTTTCTGGTCCCAATTCCTTTTACTGCCCCACTCCTCCATGGCATCACTTCCCAAAAGAAATGACCTGCCTGTGAGTCCTTCTCCCATGATGCTTTCAGGGGGAACCTAAACTAACACAGTTAGCATCTTAATTCCTTTTGTTGGGCCATTTTCCACATTTCCATTTTAGGTCTGTGGCTGTAGTTTGGGTTCCTAAAGGTTAGGGATCAGATATTCTTTCTTGTATTTTCCCACAGTTCCTAACTCAGGGCCTGGTAAATGCCAATAAACATATGTTGATTTTGATTTGATTTGACAAAAGTAAAGAATACAGTGGGTATCTGTAGCCCAAGGGGAGCCAGTTGCTTCTGGTACAGAGACCTCTGTATGATATTGCATAAGGCTAGGACCTGCTGGGGCAATTGCTGTTTTTTCTTCTGTGTACCTGTCCTGCTTCCCTCCCAGGTCTCAGTACTGTTGGCTTCCAGCGGCAGTAGGTCGTCATATACTCCAAGTAGCTCAGGAGCTTGGGCAGGCCCACAGCTGGGGCACTCACTGGGGCCCCGGCTGCCACCTGCTTCCTTCCAGCTGGGAGTGGGAAGTCAGCCCCTTTTCATCAGGGTTAGGGTCCACGTGCCTGTCACCTGGCACCACAGGACAGTCAGGGACTCCAATGAATGAATGAATGACTTAGAAATTCTGTGCCAGCCTTGACTGAATCTCATGGATATAGGCAGTGACAGGCAGCTGGTGAAGGTGCAAAGGGATTCCAATATATTCAGCAGACAAGAGTTGTACTTACGGGTCTACCACTAATTTGATGCTCCTGTAGTCATGCACTACTTATCTGCCCACAGTTTCCTGAAAATGACAAGGTTGGACTAGATGATCTCAAAGAGCTCCCAGCTCTAGGATTCTCTAAGTTACATAATTGGAAGGTAACTGAATCTGCCAGTTATACTTCAAATAGTTTTTTCACTTAAACTCCTTCGCTGTTGGTAACAGTACCATATCTATTCTAGATCCACTACGAGACAGGTGCAGCATACTCCCAGGCAGCCATGGTAGATATGTGATGATTTCTTTTGTAATTGAACTTTTTATTGAGATAATTGTAGATTCACATTTAGTTGTAAGAAGTAATAATACACTTTGCCTAGTTTCCCCCAAAGATTACATTTTGCAAAACTTTAGCATGATATCATAACTAGGATGTTGACATTAATGCAATTCACCTATCTTATTCGGATTTCTCCACCTTTACTTGTACTCATTTGTGTGTGTATTAAGTTTATATAATTTTATCACCTGTACCACCACAGTCAAGATACTTTACAGTTCCAAAACTACAAGGATCTCTTGTGTTGCCCTTTTAAAACCACATCCCTGCCTTTCTCCCACCCCACCTCATCCTTTCACTTGATGGTTTTTCAGAATCTTTTTATTTGGAAATAAGTTCACACTTAGAAATGTTCTAGTACACCATGTGCACAGACAGATTCACTGATAATATTTTGTCCATTTGCTTTACCATTTTTGCCATCAAGATATTTTTCCTCCCGTGAATCACTCAAAGCTAAGCTGCATACATCATGATCCTTTCTCTTTTGATAAGACTTCAGTGTTTTATTTCCTGAGATATTCTTGTACATAACCATAGTACAGGTTATCGACATGAGTAAATTTAACATTGATCCAATACTTTATTCATTCTGCTTTTGTCAATTGGAACGTCCATTATGACATTTCCTCTCCTCCAGTCTAGGATCAGGTACGGCATTTAGTTATTTTGACTCTTTAGCACTCTTTAAGCTAACATTTGCCAAGCTTTCTTTTGACTTTAATGACACTGACATTTTCTGCAGAATATAGCCCCTGCCCCCTTTTAATCATCATCGTTAGATTCAGGTTATGCACTCCTGGGACTACTGCACAGGTGATGTGGACATGGTCCCCATCTGCTCTCACTGCTGATATTAATTTTGATCACCTGGTCAAGGTGCTGTCTTCCTGGCCCTTTTATAGAGCTAACATTTCCCTCTTGCTACTAATCGATCTAAACCATCTATGGGGAGACACATTAACCCAGGCACGTATCTGCTCCCCAATAACATCCCCTATAGAGTTAGCATCGACTGATGATTCTTGCCTGAGCCAATCTTTGTCATACACGAGATGATCTCTTCAAGTCCTCCGCCGGTGTTGGAAAAGCAGGTTTTGTAGAATTTAGTTTCCTTGCACCTTTGGTTCTAGTCTGAGTCTTCTCCAAGTCCTGCCAACGGCCTCTGTGACCGCCGAGCAAAGGCTAGGCCCCAGCAGTAGACTCAGCAGCGTCAACTGGAAATGAGCTCATGTGGGTAGTTCCCCGTTAAACCGTCCACAAGTAATTTGCATAATAGAGCGGCTTGTGGGCGCTTACTTCCTGGATCCTTTCCTGATTCCCCTTTTTGTCCTTCCCCGTGTCACCCTTTGGTGTCACTTTGCTCAGACTACTGGTTCCATTGTCGCCGCTCCCCCGGCTCCAGCCTCCCTCCGTTGAAGCCTAAGTAAGGGCTGCTTTCCTGGAAGCCAGCCTTCCCTGAAGGGCAGGGCCGCGGGGACTTCCACGGCGCCCACCACGAACAGCCCAGGGGCGCGGGACAGGGCTGCGGAGTCCCAGCCTCCCCTGAGGTTGGCACTGGAAGGACCCCGAGAAGTGCTACGAGAAAACAAGCGCTCGCGGCGGGAAGGGATGAGCTTTCTCCGATCAAGTGTTTCGCAGGTACTTCTCCGTGCCCGGCGGCGGCGGTAAAACTGCAGGTGCGGCCGCCTGGCAGGCTGGAGGGCGCGGCCTCGGGCGGCTCGGGCGCGCCCGGCGGGCATCCTGGAGGGCGGCCCGCAGGTGGCGGCGCGGGGCGGCGGCGGGCGAGCCGGCGAGGAGGGCCGCGCGCGTCGGGCGGTGACGGCAGCGCGGAGGAAGGTGCGAGCGCCCGCTCGCGGGGAGCCATGGCGAGAGCCGCGCCGCGGCGCCCGCATCGGACCCGCGTCCGCAGGAGCGCCGCCGCCGCCCGGGCCCGCGCCGCCGCCCGCGCACCCCCGGCCGTGACCGCGCGCGCGAGCCAGGCCCCCGGAGAGGCCCGCGCGGCAGGGAGCGCGGGGAGCCCGAGCGCAGCCCCGGCGCCCGCAAGAGTCTCGAGCACCCGCGCGATCCGCGTCCCGGACCCGGACCCCGGACCGAGCCGCAGCGCCCGGTCGACGGGCGGGGCGGCGAGCAGCGGGCCGGAGCGGCCGCCGCGTGTGCCCGGCGCCGCCCGGCCGGCTGCAGCGCCAGGGAACCGAGCGCCGGGCGGCGGGGGCCGGGCGGAGGACGACGCGGAGGAGGCGGCCGGGAGACCGAGCGCCGGGCCGAGACCGCGCCTGCTGCGGGGCCGCGCCCCGTGCGCCTCTTGCGGGTAAGCCTGGGTCCGCTTGCTCGCGCCTCGGGCCCGGGGATGGCGAGGGACGCGCGTGTTGCGGGAGTGTCGGCGCGTGATACGGTGGCGGCGGGAGCGGCCGGGACCCTGGGTGGACAGCCCTCCTCCTGCATCAGCCGCACCTGCAGGAGGCCCTTGGGGACCCGAAAGGTGCCCTTTGGGCACCGTGTCGGCCACGCTGCTTGGCCTGGATTCCGGGCAGAGGCACGCCGAGGTGACAGTGAGGCGACCTTCAGGGAGCCCGGAACTGAGCCAGACCAGAGCGCGGGCAGCACCTGGATTCCCTCTCACCCGCAAAACTTGATGAAAATGACGTGTAGTGTGTCAGGGACCAGGCAGATGCCGTTTAGAGCTCCCCTTTCCATCCTGAGAGTTAAAAGGTTAACTTTTGTCACTTTTTTTCCACATGAGATTTTAAATTCTCATGTGTCACTTTTTTTCACATGAGATTCATTTCTGATCTGCAGGGTCGGCCTCTTGCAGGTAAAAACAAATATAATGGAATGTATTGTCTCCTCTTTTGTAAAGTTGTGCCTTGGGAAGGCGTCACGTGTCCGCCTGCTTTTGGGGCTGGCACTGAGTGTCCCTTGCCCGTTTAAGCTCCCTCTTTTAGAACCCTTCCCTGCACTCGTTCACGCGCTGAAATTAGCTTCCGCTTTGAGAGCCTCCCAAAGGATGAGTGTTTAGGCCTCTGATTTTTTTTTTTTTCCCCTTCATATGCTTCACCAGAACTTTGTTTTGCTTCAGACAAATGCGTAAGCCTCGTCAATATTATCTGCGAGGGTGTAGCCAGGACTGGTACATTTTCCTGCAGGGTCTTTTGGTTATCTGGGAAGTAACCACAGGGAAACTCTAATAGCTCCAGGGCCCTTTCCAATTGCCAACTACCAGAACTAGAGCAGCAAAGAGGGAGGTGGTCCGACTGAGTGCTGATCTGCCCTGGAGTCTGCCCTGGAGGGGGTCTCTCAGGGTTTGCGTGGAGGAGGAGGGGATGATGGCAGGCAAGGAACTTGACTGGTAGGTTCAGAGAGTTGGACCTGGGGTGACAGATGGCACCTCCCGCACCGCCACGGTGAGCCGGTTAGAAAGCCCTCGTCTGAGTGCAGCAGGTTTGGCAAGAGTTGGGTTTCAGCTTGGCCTCAGCACCAGCTGTTTCCTGTTTGATGCCCCAGGGACCAGTTTCCCATCCCAGCACTTGGTTGAGGGTGTCTGCGCCCTGGCTGTGTTGCTTCTATTGCTTCTGCTGCTCCTCTCTGGTGAGTTGAGACGCCCACGGGCCTTGGGGTTGGGCAACTTGGATTCAAATTCCCATCTCTCTCTCTGGCTCTCTATGGCTGTGTGTGACCTTATTTAACCTGACCTGGCTTTCCCCTCTCTGGGATTTATCCTTTCCCCCTACAAAACCCCCAGACCTAACTGTTGTAAGGTTTAAAGAAGAACAGGTGGTTTTGTTTGTTTGTTTAGACAGAGACTCCCTTTTTTGTCCAGCCTAGAGTGCCGTGGCGTCAGTCTAGCTCACAGCAACTTCCAACTCTAGGCTCAAGTAATCCTCTTGCCTCAGCCTCTCGAGTAGCTGAGACTACAGGCATGTGTCACCATGCCCGGCTAATTTTTTTTTTTTCTATATATTTTTAGTTGTCCAGCTAATTTCTTTCCATTTTTAGTAGAGAGGGGGTCTCAATTCTTGCTCAGGCTGATCTTGAACTCCTGACCTTGAGTGATCCTTTTGCCGGCCTCCCAGAGTGCTGGGATTACAGGCGTGAGCCACCTCCCCTGGCCTAGACAGTGTTTTAAATGAAAGTATTTGTTGACCGGGCGCGGTGGCTCACGCCTGTAATCCTAGCACTCTGGGAGGCCGAGGCGGGTGGATTGCTCGAGGTTGGGAGTTCGAAACCATCCTGAGTGAGACCCTGTCTCTACTGAAAAAAAAAATAGAAAGAAATTAATTGACCAACTAAAAATATATATACAAAAAAGTAGCCGGGCATGGTGGTGCATGCCTGTAGTCCCAGCTACTTGGGAGGCTGAGGCAGGAGGATCGCTTGAGCCCAGGAGTTTGAGGTTGCTGTGAGCTAGGCTGACGCCACGGCACTCACTCTGGCCAGGGCTACAAAAGTGAGACTCTGTCTCAAAAAAAAAAAAAAAAAAAAGAAAAGATATTTGTAAAAGTTTGACACAGTGACATGGGAGGATTTTCAGGTTTCATTCCAGCATGATTAGGTTTGTGATTTGGTAAACTTCTTTAGCCCCAACGGAGAAAATAAAGAAGATATTAAAATAGTAATTAGCTTTTTATAGGTTTATTGTGAGGATCAAATTAGATAGTGTAAAAAGGCTTGGAAAATAATAGAGCATTATTCACATTGAAAGGAGTTCCTAAACTTTTGGTTTCCAAACTAATAGCGTCTTAAGG